CGGCAGCTCAGCTCAAGGAGAAGCACCTATGCATTCTGATGACATTCTGACATTATAGAAGAATTTCATACAAGTCACTTACAGGAGATGAAAGGGGAAATATTCTCTGCCTTTGTGATGTGAACTCAATTCACAAGAGTAGAAAGCTCAATTTTTTATTATTAACATGGATATTTTGTAGAAACCCCAAGTTTTATTTCATTGCTAATGGTCAAACACTCTAGAAGTGACCCAGTACCTCACCTGTGTCAATCTCCCTGGAGCAGCATTTGGGTTGGGTCTGCCCTTGATTTCCTATACCAGTCCCTACCCTCCACACACCCACAGGCTCTCAGATGGTTGCTGACTGACCTGATATTTCATTCTACTGACTTACATGACTTTTCTTTTCTTTTTTTTTTTTAAGATTTTATTGGGGAATTGGTGAAGGGGAAAAGCGCTGGGGAATCGGGGGAAGGGGAACAGACAAGTTGCTGTTGTTTTGTTCATCAGTCTAGTTGTGGAGGATGTTGCTTCACTGGCCCAAGTTGGCACCATCATTGCGCTCTTCCCGGGCAAGGCAGATCAGTCGCCGGCCTCTGGACGGCTGCTCACGGCAGCTGTAGCTCACGGCTACACACAGTAGCTTATGGCAGCCCACTGCAGTAGGGGACTGCAGCCTACGCTGACGGCATCCCAGCCCCAGGTCGAGTTGCCATTCACCATCTTAGCTGCAGAGGGCAGTGTCACTGGCCCTCATATGTGGGATCCGAACCGGGGCCCTCTGGCGTCCCAAGCCAGTTCTTAACCAACGCACCACTCGGCCGGCCCTTACATGACTTTTCGAAAGGATTAGAAAGCTTTTAAAAATAGAATCACAATGAGGTAATAGCATCCATAGATGACAACCAAGGTGATGGTGAACTAACAACATAGGGGACGTACGGGATACATTCCACCATCCCCCATTTGTGAGGTTTGTTGCTAAAGGGGGCACCATTTAGAACAGTTCTTTCAGGCAAGTCAGAATTCAAACTGTATCCTGCAGAACTGATAAGCAGGATTTAGCACCTGGATTCACCCAAGCATCTAATGGTGGCTGACTTGATGCAAATACCTTCTTCTACTGAAAGGTATTATTTGAAACTAAGAAGGGAATGGGAGAAAAAATAGGAAAGTGTTTTTTTCTGTTGATCTGGCCAATGACAAAGTTTATAAAAATAAACCTTGACTTTTAAATGTTTATACAATTGATAACAAAGCAATATAAAACATTAAGTAAACAGGTAGATAAATACAGGAAGAAAACTTAAAATCCTTTTTAGGGTGCTGGCATGACATCTTCAATAGGGCTTTCTGGTTTCATACTAAAATGGAGATGGTTACCATGACATTTAGAAAACAAGCAACTTGATCTAAAATTGGTATTAAAGGAGGTAACTTTTAGTATTTCCCCCTAACCTTATACCTTTAGTAGGCCATAAGCAGCTTTCAATATTTATTGTGTGCTGGACACTTTTCTAAGCACTTGACATGTATTTTTCTCATTTATTCCCCACAAAAATCCTATGAGGTAGATACAATTTCACCTGCATTTTACAGAATAAAAGAATGAGATTCAGAGAAGGCCACACATGTTAAGTAAGTGGTAGAGTGGGGGATCCTAAACTAAGTAGGACTCAACAGCCCCTTATCCTCTCCTTTCCTGTTTCTCTTGAGAGCACAAAGGAAGGTGCACAATCTTTCCCAACAGTTCTGTCACCCAGGGTTGTGTCCCTGTCCAGTGGGACAACTGGGAACCCTAAGCCAAACTACCACCTCATTGGGCAGGCTTCCCCTAAGTTGTCCTCCTCTCATAGCACCCTATGATGTTGCCAGCCAGCCTCAAGAACTTCCAGTGAGCTAGGTTTTCTGGACAGCTGAAACATTGTTTATAATGATTTTTCATACCATATTTTGGCCTTCCCCAATATAAACAGGCATTTTATTTTCATACTAGCCTAAGAAGTCTGTAGCTAGATGTGTCACAGAAATGCCACCTGTTAGAGGTTACTACTCAATTCAGTTTATGAGAGAAACCTATGAAGTTATGAAATGAGACCTTTGTATAGGAAAAACCGACCATCTGACTGCTGATTTCAACCTAGGATTTAAATCAGTTACTCTTTTCTCAGAGGCTTGCTTGACTTCAAGTCTCAAAACTGATTCTTTCCAAGACTAGGAGGATTACTCAAATCAGCCCACTTCAGTTGCTTGTCTATTTTCTTAATGGTTTTAAAGCAAAGACACAAATATGGCTGTACCACTGTGATCAACTATCAGCCACAAATTAGGGTGGTCTCTTTTAAAGATTCCTACAGGCACTGATGACTAAAATGGTGCCAATTCATAAAAAGTCACCTCGGGCCGGCCGAGTGGCGCAATGGTTAAGAACTGGCTTGGGATGCCAGAGGGCCCCAGTTCGGATCCCACATATGAGGGCCAGTGACACTGCCCTCTACAGCTAAGATGCTGAACAACAGCTCAACCTGGAGCTGGGCTGCCATGAGTCGCCGGCGACGGTGTAGGCTGCAGCCCCTGTGGCAGTGGGTTGCCATGGGCTACCGTATGTAGCCAGCAGCCAGCGTGAGCGGCCAGCAGCCACAGTGAGCGGTCGTCCAGAAGCCGGCGACTGATCTGCCTCGCCCGGGAAGAGCGCAATGATGGTGCCAACTTGAGCCAGTGAAGCAACGTCCTCCACAACTAGACTGAAGAACAAAATGACAGCAACTTGTCTGTTCCCCTTCCCCCAATCCCCCAGCGCTGTTCCCATCCCCCAATTCCCCAAGAAAAATCTAAAAAAAAAAAGTCACCTCTAATGAAGAATGCCCATGAAATTAAGCTCAGATAATCCAACACCTACTCTTTAGATTTGATGTGCATGATTAACATTGGTCAGGATCAAGTTGAATGTTTTGAGTGTCCTCTGCTTTTATTTCCTGTCCAAGTGACAGGTGACAACAAGATACAGTAGCAAAGGAGGAACAGGACATAGTATGTATACTTTGCGATCTAAGATCAGCTTGTTCACTTGAAGAAAAAAACACATGGATCTGAATAATGGGATTGTCCAAGGCATTTCTATTTTGTAGTTCAAGCAGAAGATAGTATCACTAATAGAATAGCAGGTACTACACCTTCAGAACTGGTTAACAAAGACCTCTAATGAAGGCAAGAAAAAGTTGAAAGGGTCTCACATAAAATTACTAGTGTTGAGAAACATATATGTGAAATCACTACCCTAACATTGTTTGAACACAATTCTAACATGGCCATTAACTAAATCCTCTTGAATGGAGCAAAAAGTAAACGTATTTCCAACTAAATTTCGTAGAGAAAACCATTATATTTAAGTTCTACTGCCATTAACCTAAAAAAAATGCTTTTCTTAACCACTTTAGGCACATTTATCCAAGTATGGGAGAATTCTGAGACTGGACTGTGAAAAATGGGCAATACTGAGCTTCTTAATCTTTACTGTGGATATACGTAAGTTCTACCCTAACAGAGATCAATAACATCTTTCTAAGAATTACTTAAGCATAAAGATGAATATACATAAGTATGACATATACATGCCACCCTCAGATCAGAGTGTGAAAGTGATTCAAAAGCCTCTCTGCCAGGACTCTACAAGAAGAGTACCAGTCAGAACTTTTATTCAAAAGGTGCCAGCAGAGTTCACATCACAGAAGCTTATAAAAGTAGTTCAAATCAGTTTTTCTTCATTTAATAAGCTTTTCTCCATTCAGGATTCACCTGTCAACATTTTAGGTAAGGAATTTAAGTTGTGAAATACTCAAGCACTCTCAGGTTTGAAGGGAACTACAATACGTTTGGGAAGACCAAATCTGAACGAAGTACTAAAGTGCTTTGTACCAACTCACATTGTTATGCCCAAACAGACTGTGTTAAGACAGCAATTAACCAAGAACCCTTTTACACCTGAAAACACTTTTTTTCTCTAGAGAGATTGGTCTTTTTGTTTTAATGCTAAAAATGAGTATTACTGACATCATGATACTTTATCAAGTAGGTAAGAGTGGTGGCACCAGTACACAAACAAAGCCTGACTTAAAAATATTAACCAATTAGTACCCTGGGAAGCCAGGGACAATAACCACACCAGAGTCCTTGACAGAGTCCATACTAAGAAAATACAGATATGGGCCCAACTAGGACATAATCCTTCCTGTCAACTGTCCCAAGCACATTTTATATACTCCAGCCCAATACACTTCAGGGAACCAGAAATGAATTCACAGCTCACTGAGTCCTGCCAACCTCTTCAGAAACATTCAACAGTCAACAAGATACTGAAACAATATCGTCAATAAATATACGGCCTTAAAAAAAAAAAAATAAATAAATATACGGCCTTGAAGTGATTTGCAACCCCCTGGAAAAAGCAGGTATCTAGAAGAGCAGGTATCTAAATCACAAGTTTTTGGCTAGGGGAAATATAATTGAAGTCTTACTTTTGTGAATCCATATCCAATTTATAACTGGAAGTAAAAAACAATTTAAAAATCTGGTTACCCTAGCCAAGCACCTAGAATGGACCAAAGAGCATTCCTTTGGGGGGTTCACCTCTTATGGAAACATCAATACAGAGGACACTGATTTTGTGAGCCATCTCAGACCTGGAATCCTTACTCTACAGCATGTAAGTCAACAACATACCAGCTACACAGCTATTACAGAGTTTGTGTGCCAACATATACTGATCCACAAAGTCATATGAGATCTGAGCTGATATTCCCTTCACCTGAAAGCTTCTTAGAAGCAAATTCTAGTTTAAACTCCGTATTCACACTTTAGAAAAACGTTCAAAGCAATGCTTTACTAAACTAGTTAATATTCAGTCCATTTAAAGTCAGAATGAAACTACACTTTAGATAATACTAAGAAAATACCTACACAATGTTACTAACCTCCCCACCTTTATAAAGAAACACTATTTCAGTAGTAACAAAGCCTACTTTTGTATAGCGATGGGGAGATTTCGATGCTGGCTGCTTCTTCAAGTCAAGGAAAGTATCTCCATTTTCTGTTTCACCCACACTTCTCCTATCCATGGCTCCTTGGTCTACAATTCTTTGCACCTGGAAGATAAATCAACACAAAATTGTCACTGAGAATAAATTTTCAGAAGTCTTGGCTGTTTAAGAAAATGAAACTCTAATCTCTTAAAATGACTACTTTAAAAAAACAAACCCTCACAATTATGCTATAAACCAGAACCCAACTGGAAATAAAACCAGTTAGTTATCTCTTCTAGTAAATAAAGTGCTCTAAGCATCAAAAACGTAAGGAAAGAAGTGGAAGGTGCCCAAATCAGGGTACACAGCCTTTAAGCAGCCTTACTACAAAAGGAAACCAAGATTGGTCGCTGCCACCCATGGGAACCATTCAGGCAGTAGTGGGGAAGTTTCCCGGAGGGTGGACAGGTAGGAGACTGGTTGGGTCCGGGAATCCGGTAAGTCGGGCTGTAGTACAGTGCCTGTCACTTGCCAATGGACGGCGCCAGTTGCCCCTTGTTATCCAGGGGTCAGGGACTGGGGACGGAGCCCGAGCGCCTCTCGGCCAGCCGGCCGCACCTGTGGCCATGTCAGAGGCGCCCGTGGCAAGGAAGGAGCGAACGCCGGCTTCAGCTCCGAAACTCAGCTTCCCCGGGCCGCGACCCCAACCCCCGGCCTCTCGCGCAGGCCCCGACCCGGCGCCTTCCTTCGGAGGAAGGGCGGGGATGGTACTCACGAGGGGAGGCGGGCCGGAGGGAGCGGGGAGGCCGAATCCCCCCCGCCCGGGCGCTCAGAGCAGGAGCCGGCGCAGGCCCGCGGCCGTCCGCCCCGGCGCTGGGGCCCCGCCACCCCGCTGGCCTCGCGTCCCAGCCGCCGCCGTAACCACGACCCAGCCCTCCGCCCCTTCTCCCTGGCCCCCTCCCCCTTAATAACTCCCTCCACGCACCCGGGCCCGAGCACCGCCTTCGCCCGGATGTGAGGTGGCCGCGGCGATGCCGGACGAAAAAGAGAAACATCGCGTCGCGTTCCCCGGGCGCCGGTCCCTGCGTGCGTTCGGTGGCGGGAAGGCGGTGGCGGCGGAGGGGAGGAGGCCGGGTCCGGGGCGGCGGAAGCCCTCCCTGGTGCGTGCAGGCGGTCGTCGTGGGCAGCCCCGAGGATGCCGCGTTCCCATGCGCAATTCGGGGCGGGGCGGGCTGTACTTGGAGCCCGCGCCAGGCTGCTCCCTTGGGACGGAGGTAGCAGTGGATAAGTGGGCTGGGGTCCGTGGATTGGCCCGACTTGGGAGCCCGACCGTCGACCGCTGCGATTGCACGGTTCGAGCTGGCGGCGAACCCTGGGGTTAAGCAGTGCGAGTGAGTTAGGCGAACCTGGAGGCTTTTGAGCCTTTCGGGTGTGGGCTAGAACCTCAGCTCTTTTACTGGAGGTGTAATCTTGGTGACATCTCTGAGTTTAGCTCTTATCCTTTCTAAAATGGCCTCTCTGTATAAGTCTATGAGGAATAAACGAGATCACTCGTTGATGCATTAGTAGGCAAACTTGCCATGATTGCTTTTGATTGAGCTAAGGGCGACAAATTTATTGAAATGTTCTTTCCCGCCCATAACCTGAAATCTGCATGGGAACCGGAAGTGCAAGTGTGTTTGGGTGAAAATGAGATGGCGAACCTCAAGCGCTTAGTTACCCAGTGCCGAGACTGGCTAACGGGGGCACAGAAACACAAATATTATTTCCCTACTTTGTGAGCAACGAGAGTAACTGTTGTGCGGGGGGAGGAGCCGTCAGGAAAGTTTTGACCGAGATCACCTATGAGCCTGCTCTGCAGGATTATCACCAGCCCGTTTCTGCCCAGTGGGACCGCCCAGGGTTTGTGTAAAATGATACATAGGCGTGGAGGGAATCAACTTTTCTCGCTAAAAGGTATCGAAGTCTACATTTCTTTGAAGGGGCCTACTTTTAGTTTCACTTTCTTCACTTGTGAAATCGGGATTGGACAATGCGAGATCACTGAGTTTCCTTCCTAGGAGTCTTGACAACAGAGAAAAGAATTACGAAAACGTTTTTCTTTTCCTTTATAATACTGAATAAAAGATATTTCTTACAACCTATCTTTTCTCTGCAGCAAGAAGCAGAGTGGGAAACATTTGCAAATTGGAGGAGTTTGCATCCCAGCTCTACCCTATAGGCTGTGGAGAATTATGCCTTTTGTTCTTAGCCTTGATTTTCTCATCTGTAAAATTGGGAAGATGATAACCCACTGAGAAGGCTGTTGTCAAGATTAAATGGGAAAAGGTGGGTAAAAAGCCTTATAAACTTTCATAAAGCTGCTGGGTATTTTTTCTTTAAGCCTATACAGAGACACAACAAGCATTGGTGGTGGTGGTTATTATTAAAACCAAATTGCTTTTGGAATCCAGGTTCTTCCTAATGCTGAAGAAATGGCCTAATCCCCTTGCCATTATGGACTAGTGGAGACACCTATTCTTTGAAGTTGTTAAATCCTGATCTCTGCCACTTAGTGTGAAACCTGAGCCAGTCATTTCACTTTTCTGGACCCATTTACTCATGTGTCAAAAGGGATAGCAGTATCTATTTTTTAAGTTTGTAGTGGGACTTAGACATAACGTATTAAAAATACTGTTCTGGTTATCTATTGCTGTGTAACATCACCCCAAAACTCAGTGGCTTACCTCAACATTTATTTTGCACCCAAATCTGCAATTTGGCTGGCTCTAACTGGGACAGCTGGTCTCTGCTCCATTCAGCATCATCTGGAGCAGTGGAAGGCTGGGGGCTACGAACATCTAATGACTCACTGACATGTTTGGTGGTTGATGTTGGCTGGAACACTTACACGTGGCCTATCTGTGTAGCCTGAGCTTCCTCACATGTTGGCTGGATTCTGAGGGCAAGTATCCAGAGAGAACAAGAGAGTCAGACAGTTGCTGAATTTTCTAACCTGTTCACTCTGTTCTGCCACATGCCACATTCTGTTCTTTAGATAGGAGTCACTAAGGCTGGCCTATATTCAAGAGGAGGGGACTTAGGACTACACCTTTATATGGGAGGAGTGTTAAAAGAATTTATGGGCATACCTTAAAATTACCACAAACCACATGTGAAATCTGCTCAAGGCAATTTACTATCATGATATTGGCCTGGAGCTAGTAATTTCCAGGGCCCTCTGGTCTATCCTAGTTAGGATGCACTCTTCTACCAGGCTCTTCTTTTAATGTCTTGTAGAACCTTGTTCTCAACTTACCTTTCAGTCTCCATTTGTCCTTGTGAAAGAAGACAATTATTACCTAGGAACAAAGGTAATAATTTACTAAAGGAGGCCATACAAAAGCTAGATCCTTGCAAACACTTGTTTCATTGTAGCTTTTGAATGTTATTCTTCTTAGCAGAAATATTTTGTAATTCTAAGTGCCCCATTTTGCAACTAACAATTTTCAAATATTAGTATGGGAAACCCTTGGAGAGAGTAAGAGAAATGATTCATTCTAGTTGCTTACTAAATATTTGTAAGATCTTGGTTTAGGTTCAAATTGTTGGTTCAAAGTTTGGCCTAAGGGAACTCAAAGATTCAGTCAGTTGGGGAAATTAGCAGTCCAAGAACAGTGGAGAAGCAAATGAAAATATTAGAAACCTAGAAAATTTGAGAGCAGCCTCATTTCAGAAAGTTGAAATTATAACTCGACTGTCCTGTACCTCTCAAAATGGGCCTTCTCCTACTCAGTTTTTTTGTTTGTTTTGTTTTGTTTTTCTCCTCCAAGGGTAATTAGTTCCAAGGAAATAGGATATGAACAGTGTCACAGTTGTGCTCACATGTACTCAGGTTAAGGACCATAAGAAAATTACTAAGGGACTTCCGGAAGACTACACAGCAAATTCTATGCAAAGCCTAGACCGCTGCTGAATGGAACAGAGAAGTACTTAAAACAGCCTGACACCATGTAAAGTGCTGCTACCCTAGCTATTCAATACTGTTATGTTCCAATCTTTCTCTACAGGACTATTTTCATTATAACTCAAATGGAAAGGGCTTTCATCCCTTCCTGAATTATGGTGATAAATGCACGTGACAAAGAAAGCACCAGCAAATTATCTAGAAAGCATGCGTATTGATTTATTATCTTGGATATGTCATAATTTATATAAACTACTTATAAGAAGGACTAGTTTTACAATAAGTAAATATTACTGTGTTAATTAGGACTTTGAAACTCACTAAATTATTTAAAACTACTTGGCTGCATATCTTCGGATAAGAGTTGTCCCTAAAAGATTGGCCCCAGTGTCCCACTAAAGTGGAACTCCTCCGTTTTTAAAACACGTTTTAAATTACAAAAATTAGCATACGTAGAAAATAGAACAAAAATACAAATTAACCTGATTCTATTCCTGAGACACCCAACAAGTTATTTTTCTGTTTTTAACGTAAAACCTTTCAAGCATTTATATACATAATGCTAGCCTTTGCTCTCTCCACCAGACATCTGTGCTTTCAAACGATGTTTTACAAAGCACAGGAGAAAAGCTTAAGAAAATACCTACCCTCCCCCACCTCTATTTTTAAAAGATGATCAGAATGGACCCACGTTTAAAATTTTAACTACTATTTATAACTAGTGCTTACTAATTACAGTTTTAAAGGAAGGGTTAAGAGAAGATATCAGCCTGGGATAATTTTAATTCAGGGGCCGCGGAAAGACGCGCCCTTAACGCCCCTCCCCGCGTCCACATTGACAGGCTCCTGTTTCACGCATGCGCGCGCCCTACTCCTTACGGGTGGGCTCACACTCCCCGGGAATCAAGGAGAACCTGGAGATGCTCACGTGGGAACCTGGAGGTGATAGAACTCTTAGCGCCGGCCTCCAGACAGGAACCTCATCCCTAGTGCTTGCCTTGCGAAGCGTAACTCGGGGATCCGCTTCGAAACAGCTCCCACTCTTGTCCAAGAGTAGCAGTAGGAAGTTGAGCTCAGAGAGAAGCTGGCAGCCCAAAGAGGCAGAGAGACCTCCGTGGGCTGTTCCGAAGGTGCGTTTATCTACGCCCCTCCTGGCTAACTCGCATAGCCGACTCTCAACCACTGCCAAGGGGAGGCGTGTCACCTGTTGGACTGAGACTGCGCGAACTCTGGGGTGGTCCCTGGCAGGGCGTCCCTCACGCACGCTGCGTCGCCGTGGAGATGGGGTGGGGCCGGCGGGAGACGTGCGTGCAGAGGCTCGGGAAGCGCCGGACTCAGGCGGCCAGTCGGTGACCTCCCGCTCCGGTTCAGACTTCCCTGAGCCTCCAGGCCGGAGGGCTTGGCTTCCTTAGGTATGAGGCCTGGTCCAACCGTCCCCAACCTCTGAATGCTACGGCCTCTCCGGCCAGGAGCCCAGCGGCGAGCGCATGTCCCTCCGAGCTGGGCTGGGTCGCTCTCCTGTGGGAGCTCTGCTTCCTCCTCTTCTAGAAGTGCAGGTGATGCTGCCTACCCACGGTGCTAGGTGGGGAGTGGAGGAGACGGGAAAAGAGCGCGCAGGACGGCGTCCGGGGCCCGCCCTCTTCGCCCAGCGCGGCGCTCGTGTGGTTTTTGCCGGGTGTTTCTCGTCACCGTCTTGTCTCCCGGGTCTGGGGATACAGCATCCTCTCGCGCGCGCAAAGCGCCGCTGGCGGCTGCCGGTACCCGAGTCCAGGCAAGGCCCATTAGCGTGCGCGGATCCGAACCGGGGGTTTCTGGATCCCTGCTACGTAGCTCCGCGAGGGGCTAGTGTATACAGATCTCAGGAGTCCCATCTGAGCCCGGAGGGGCCAACTGGGCAAACACCGTGAAGCCTCCCTCGCAGTAGGAGATTAGTGCTTCTTTTTTATTTGCTGGTAGGCCGTTCAGATTTCTTGTTAACCTCTATAGATGTACAGTAAGTTTTTGTCGAATGAATGGTATTAGGAACCTGAGTACCACTCCCAGCTCTACCACTTAGCTGGTGACCTTGGGCACTTGTCTGTGACATGAAATGGCTGTATCTCACCTGTTGGGGTGGTTGTATTAAGAAGTAGGTAATTAATGAAAAGTGCTTAGTACTATACATGGCACAGAGGAACCACTTCATAAATGTTATTTTAAATATAATTTCTACATCTTACTTAGATTGCGTGTTACCCTCCTAAGGCCATAAAAATATGAGGCTTGGAGGTGTCAGGGACGGCTTTCTGGAAATAGTTGAAAGTTATTCTGGGGCTTAAGATATACATTTAGGTACTGTATTTCCTTGCTTTTTTTTTTTTTTTAGTAGGATCATTCATTTCTCAGTCATTGTTAGAAGTTGCAAAATACTGTAGAAACTTCTTTAAGATACTTTTGATTTAGATTTGTCAAATTAACAATACATAATTTAAAAAACTAATTTAAAAACTCATAGAAAATAGCCCCCATACCCCAGTTCTAATTTCCTTTCTTCTAGCTGTTTATTCTGATGTTATTGGGTTGTCGGAAAAGTCATGACGCATTTTTGCAACGAAAACCAAAAAATACGTCATGACTTTTCCGACAGTCGAATATTTATAAATTGGAAGTAAATATCCTTATAGGTGATATTTCTTTCAGCTATGTTTCACCTGTGATTTGTTAATTTTACACGTTAAGTGTTGACTCTTATTCGTGGGAGGTAATTACTTAGCTCACAGTTTTCCTTCATCTCACCAATGTGGTTATGTGGTAATTTGTTGTTAATAGTGTTTATATAACAGATAGTCACAGCTGAACCAAGTAGAGCACTGAAACCCTCTTGTATGCCATCATTTCTTCTGAGAATTAATAATGGTCTTATTTTCTCAGTTGCCTGGTATTCCTTACACGGATCACCAAAATTTTTTTCTGAATGCTTCAGCATTTCTCATATAGCTATCTAATTTTTTGCACAGTCTTAAAACCATCCATTTTATTTTTTTCATGGAGACTTCTTTCCTCTGCTCTAATCTGATCTCGTGGCTCTTGCCTGCTGTACCTAGTTCTAATCCAGGGACTTCTTTTTGCATCTGTTTTAGGATTTGCTTCTTTTCACTATTCTCTTGTGTTGAATTCACTTGCCTGGATCCCTTTTTATTTTTTTCTTAATTTGCTGCCTTGGCTTTTGGAGCAGTCTCCTGTAATTACTGCTACTTCTATTTCTTCCTCCACCTCGTCCTCCTCTTTTCCTTCTTTTAACAGCTTTGTTGAGATATACAGTAAAATCTTGGATTGCGAGTAACTTGTTTTGCGAGTGTTCCGCAAGACGAGCAAACATTTCTAATACATTTTAACTTGGTAAATGAGCGATATCTTGCAATATGAGTAGTTTGTTTCTGGAACAAATTATGCTCGCAAACCAAGATATTACTGTAATTCACATATCATACAAGTCACCCATTTAAAGTGTTCAATTCATGGGTTTTTAGTATATTCACATAGTTATGCAACATCACCATAATCAACTTTGGAACATTTTAATCACCCAGAAGAGAATGTTAGTATCCACTCATCTGTTAGTAGGCACTACCCATTTTCCTTCATTCCCCCCAGCTCTTGGCAACGCCCAATTTACTTTCTGACTCCATAGATTTGCCTGTTCTGGACATTTCATATGAATGGAATTATACAATATGTGGTCCTTTGTGATTGGCTTCATTCACTTAGCATAATGTTTTCAAGGATCATCCATGTTTTAGCATGTAACAATATCACATTTCTTTTTATGGCGAAATAAACATTTCATTGTGTGGAGATACCGTATTTCGTTTATCCATCCATGAGTTGGTACACATTTGGGCTTTCACTTTTTTTTTTTTTAAGATTTTATTTGGGAATTGGGGGAGGGTACAGCATTGGGAATCGGGGAAGGGGAACAGACAAGTTGCTGTCCTTTTGTTCTTCAGTCTAGTTGTGGAGGATGTCGCTTCACTGGCCCATGTTGGCATCATCACTGCGCTCTTCTCGGTTGAGGCAGATTGGTCGCCGGCCACTGGACGGCCGCTCACGGGGCATCTTGGCAGCTAAAGTTGGCTGCCAGCCACTCATGGTAGCTTATGGCAGCCCACGCCGTTGCTGGCGACTCACAGCAGCCCAGCTCCAGGTCGAGCCATTGTTCACCATCCTAACTGTAGAGGGCGCAGTGTCACTGGCCCCAATGTGGGATCCGAACCGGGGCTCTGCTGCTCAGAGCTGGCATCCCAAGCCAACTCTTACTCAACGCGCCACTCAGCCGGCCCTGGATCTTGATTTTAACAAACTACAAATCAACTGTCAAACAAAAAGCAAGAAATTACCAAAACAATTTAAACTTCAATTTTTTTTAAACTTAATGTTTTCATGAGTTACTTAAAAATTACCATTAATTTTTAGTGTTAGTTCTTTTAAAAGGACATATTTTACAGAATACACTGAAAATTTTACAGATAAAATAGGAGAAATTTGAGTACCAAAATAATTAAAGTCTATACATTGCATTTGGTTAACATACATCTTAAGTCTCTTAATGTGTAAGTTTTCCCTTCTTTCCTTTGCAGTTTATTTGTTGAAGGAACTGGGTCGTTTGTCCTATAAAGTTTCCTACATTGTCAATTTTGCCAAGTCATTTTGTTTGTCCCCTGTATTTTTTGTTAGGTGATACTTAGTTTTAGATGAGGCTTGATAATATTTAGATGCAAGTTTTGGGCAGGAGTACATCATAGGTAGTGGTACTTCCTCAGATTCCTTTGTTTGTTTTGGTCTCTTTTTCTTGTTGAAGGTAATTTCCAAATGTCTTGTGATTCTTGACTGTCCATTCATACTTAAGTGTCAGCAACTGAGAGATTAATTGGGAGCTCCCAGACTCTGAGCAGGGGTTATCCGTTTGTGAGCTTCTCTGTAGGGGCAGGTTTCCCTTTTTATTAATGGAGGTGGGGCACAGATGTCAGAATCTAGAGGTCTGTTAATTCTTAGCTTGTGAGACTGGGAAGGTACCAGTCTAGCTGTAAGAATTGTGGAAGCAGAGTGTGGGGAGGGAGCTGTATACCTGCCTGGCCAGGTTGGGAAGGAGACCAGGGGCCTCAGATGCTCACCATATAGACTCATTCAATCCCCTCATTTGTGGCCTATGACTTCTGGGAGCCTTTCCTTGTTCCTTCTAGTTCTGAGCTCTTCTGGGATTCAGTTGGCCTTCTTCTCTTTGGTATCCCACTCTGTTGATTTTTATTTCCTCAATCTGTTCCGGCCGTTAATTTTCCTCTTTCCACTTTCTTGTTGCAAAAATTTGTGGCAGTCTTTCATTTCCTGTGATTCCTTCTCCCATCTCTTGTATACCCTTTTATCCTTTACTGTCATGTGGGCAATCTATATGTGTAACTGGGAATCCACACCTAATAATCTTTGTTTTTGGTTATTATGTGTATTCCAACTCAGAAGCAAGTTCATATTCATATCTTTGAGATCAAACCTGTGTCCCAGCCTTTCCAATATTTATATATTTCACCTGTCAGGTTCTAGACATCGTTTTAGATGCTGGAGATAGTGGTGAGAAAAATCAGACATATGTGTAGCTTTTGTTTTATGGAATTTTTTATTAGTTTTAGATGTAGAAAATAATACAGTAGTTTTACTTTTCGCCCCTCACAAAGTGACAACCCCCTCTATATTAAATATTAAATATAATATTTAATATATATTAAATTATAGTTGACATACAATATTATTGAACATCAGCTTCAGGTGTACAGTGCAGTGGTCAGGCATCTACACTATCCATGAAGTGGCCTCCCTAACAAGACGTGTGTTTTCATGGAATTTATACTCTAATGGGGAAGGCAGATAGATATGTACAAGTACTTAGAATGTTGGCACACAGTGTATAACAAAAGGGAGTCTTGCACTACAGATAACATTCCTAGAATCATTGTAACAAGACATAAACCCATGGCAATGACCCATTTATTGTAGTATTTCACCAAAAGTCTTTATTTAATCATCCTTCAATCTAATTTATTTATGGAAATAGTCACAAATGGTGACCTATGTCACTTGGAGAGTGATACCAGAAAGACTACTAGTAGTACATAGGTTTGACCTCAGTAAGAACTGTTCATTTTGTATGGATAAATTCTTTTGGCTAATTCCTTGTCTGATAGTCATTGAAATATGTGACCTTGATTATAAGGGTGACCTTGTTTATAAAGAGTGATTTCATTCTTTTAGAATGAATGTCTCAGTATGAATGCATCACAATTACCCAACATAGGACATATCCACCCTATTAGCTTTCCTCCACCATGCACTTAAATCTAACTCCTTTGTCTTACTACTTGTATTGGTTTCCAAAGTCTGCTGTAACAAAATGCCACAAACTGCATGGCTTAAAACAACAAATTTATTATCTGTTAGTTCTGGAGGCCAGAAATCTGAAACCAAGATGTCGACAGGGCCATCGTCATCTTTCTGAAAGCTTGAGGGGAGGATCTGTTGCATGCTTTTCGCTTAGCTTCTGGTGTTGCTAGCAGTCCTTAGGGTTCCTTGGCTTGTAGACACATCACTCCAAAATCTCTGCTTTGATTATCACATACGATATTCCCCGTGTGTCTGTCTTCACCTGGCTTTCTCTCTGTATCTGTCCCTGTGTTCCTTCTATTTCTTTAAAGACACCAATCATATTGGATTAAGGGCCCACCCTATTCCAGTATGACCACATCTTAACTTACATCTTAATTACATCTGCAAAGACTATTTCCAAATACGGTCATATTCGTAGGTACTAGGGGTTAGGACTCCAGCATATCTTTTTAACGAACCCAGTTCAACACACAACATTGCTATTCTTTGCCCTAAGAAATAAAAACCGTGTTATTATTCCGTTCATAATAAATCTTATTGGTAGAAATTACCACCAAATGAAAATGAAAACTGTACACAGCACTTTACTTCTTATCAAAAACTGCCTGAAGATTCTTATAGGTAATATTGACAGCCATAAAAATTAATCTGGGAAATTTTTGGCCTCTACTGGTGTTCTTATGAAGGGAAGTTGAAGGTCTAAGAACATTACCTGGACAGGAGGAATGAGCCAGTCGTATGTAACCTTTTGAGTGTGGCTCTGTCTCCTCTTAGTTTCCTTCCTTAGAAAACAACTTCTTAAAAATGCAATTTAAAAAGTATTTTATTTTATTATTTAAAGATTTTTTATTGGGGAATTGAGGGAGGGGAACAGTGTTGGGGAATCGGGGAAGGGGAACAGACAAGTTGCTGTCCTTTTGTTCTTCAGTCTAGTTGTGGAGGACGTCACTTCACTGGCCCATGTTGGTATTATCATTGCGCTCTTCCCAGGTGAGGCAGTGGCTCGCCGGCCATTAGACGGCCGCTCACAGCAGCTCGTGAAAGCTCACGCCAGCTTCCGGCCAGCCCCATGGCAGCCTACGCCATCGCCAGGGACTCACAGCAGCCCAGCTCCAGGTCAAGCTGTTGTTCACCATCTTGTGCAGTGTCACTGGCCCTAATGCGGGATGTGAACCGGGGCCCTGCTGCTCAGAGCTGGTGTCCCAAACCAACTAACTCTTAGCCAACATGCCACTCGGCCAGCCCTAAAAAGTGTTTTAAATCGGAGACTTCCCAAGTTCATCAGGTGTTGAATAAAGGAAGGGCAGGAGACCAGAAACTGGCATGCAGCTGTTCAGAAATATGGCTCCTAATTTATTCTCTCTTTTATTCCCTTTTTCTTTTAGTTAGAAGGGGAAGATAAATGACTTTGATTCATGAAAAATGTGCTCACTAAGAAGTGTATGTCAAGCCACTGGTTGAATTTCCATCAAAAAAAGATAAAGCAGAGAATGGAGAGGAAGATTGACTCCAGGTGAGTGATGGGACTTGCAAAAAAGATAACTGAAATTATGGCCTTTGTAAAAGCCTGTAAACATTTTTTTTCTGTGTGAAAAGAATATAAAATGTAGGTTTTCCCTAAATCATGAGTAGTGAGATAGGAAGTTTGGGTGAGGATTTTTTGTTGTTGGTTTTTGGATTTCTCATCTGGAGTATAGTGTATAATGCACATTTCATACCTTATGTTACAGCCCAAAACCATTTTGCATCATTAAAGTTTTGATTTTGAGCAGGAATGAGGATGATTTTCCTGAGGTTAGAAGTTAAAACATTATGGCTAGCTGGCTTTTGTATCTTTTTCCCTCCTTTTGATCATGGTTGCTTTGAGCCTGCATTAAGTTTCTTTTGATTCCAAATAACAATTCAACTCTGGCTCGTCTAGGCAAAAGGGAAGAATTTACAAGAAAGAGACTGATTTACTAGTAAACCTCAGATTCACAGGAGTGAGCTTGTGATTTGCAGCTGGCCAGTCAAGGGTATTCCACTGCCTTATACACAGTGATTGGTTCAGTGTGGGCATGTGACCACATAGGGCTAATCAGAGGTTTCTCTCTAAAGCTGAAACAGCCCACCTAATTTAAAGAGAGGCCCACCTAATGCTAAGGTTGCTGTGACAGAGGTTGCAATCTCCACCATGCAGAGGCAACAGGGAGCCTGTGCTGTAGGAGGTAAGCAGGTCAGCACACTCAGAGAAGCAGCAAGACCTAACAATGTTGAGATACCAGTTCTAGTCCTTGAGGCTGTAATTCAGAATTCTCCCAAAGTCCGTGAGCTACCTCTTTGTGCTGGATATATTCAGTTTACCCCTCCAGATCTAATCTCCACTCATCAGCATCCAGGCTTCCTGATGGATTTGGCCAAAGAGATAGGAGGAGGAGATAGGAGGGAGGGAGGAGAGTGAGACCAGACTTTATTCCCTGAGCTCCCTCCTTGTAAGACACTGGGTTGGCCGTGTTCCTCCACTGAAGCTCAAAGCACTTCGGAAGGCAGCAGACTCTATATGAGTCTCCTAGATCCTGGTAATTATTCCTTTCCCTTGTCTCTTTGGTGATATTAGAGGTAATACCAGCTTAGCTTCTATTAGCCTCAGGTTCCTTCATTGTCTGCTGTGTTCCTGGACACACACACCTTTATATATAAGCCATCTTTCAGATTATCCTATTTTTAATATGTCGTCTGTTTTCTTTGGGACTCTGGGAGTTTTATCATGACTGGTGTTGGATTTTTTTTTTTTTAACTTTATTGAGGAACAGTGTTTTTTTCCAGGACCAACAGCTCCAAGTCAAGTTGATGTCATTCAATCTTAGTTGTGGAGGGCGCAGCTCAGTTCCAAGTCCACTCACCGTTTTCAGTCCCACTATCCCATGTGGGAGTCAAACTGGCAACCTTGTTAAGAGCACGCACTCTAACCAACTGAGCCATCCGGCTGCCCACCGGCAGCTCAGCGATAGCTCAGCTCAAGTCGTCTTCAATCTATTGGGTTGTCGAAACAGTCATGACGTATTTTGTCTGTGTTTTTCTTTTTTTTTTTTTTTAAGATTTTATTGGGGAATTGGGGGAGGGGAACAGACAAGTTGCTGTCCTTTTGTTCTTCAGTCTAGTTGTGGAGGACGTCA